TGAGTGTAAACGCAGAGTCCTGGCCTGTAGGTGAGTGTAAACTGCAGAGTCCTGACCTGTAGATGAGTGTAAACGCAGAGTCCTGGCCTGTAGGTGAGTGTAAACTGCAGAGTCCTGACCTGTAGATGAGTGTAAACTGCAGAGTCGTGGCCAGTAGATGAGTGTAAACTGCAGAGGTCTGACCTGCAGATGAGTGTAAACTGCACAGGTCTGACCTGCAGATGAGTGTAAACTGCGGAGTCCTGGCCTGTAGATGAGTGTAAACTGCAGAGCCCTGGCCTGTAGGTGAGTGTAAACTGCAGAGTCCTGACCTGTAGATGAGTGTAAACTGCAGAGGTCTGACCTGATGATGAGTGTAAACTGCAGAGTCCTGGCCTGTAGATGAGTGTAAACTGCAGAGTCCTGACCTGATGATGTAGTTCTTCTGTGTTGGATCATAACTTTGAATGAAAAGAACCACCTGTCCGGAGGACCTACGTATTTTTCTTCTACCTGGATAACTGAGATGCATCAGGACAACCTGATGAAATCTTTTCGTACACTTGACGTGAGATTTGAACAATTTTAAACCCTGGTAAAGACCAGATTTTTTTTATTTTCTGATATACGTACTGTATAAAACCTCAGAACTGAAAAAATTATTTTATTCCAATGACTATAAAACATTACTGAAAGAAGTATTTTCTGCAAAGTTAGTTGTTAGAGCCGGTGAAACAAAGGGTGCAGAGGAATCACTGCTACATGTCAAAGAAGGATCACACTGAGACATTTATCTCATGCTGAGCTCTTTGGCTCATCTTCTCTTGCAAATACATTCCTCAAAATAAACCCAGATGAACACATTCTGACACCAGATTCACTGTTAAACAGCGTTAGTTTATTTTCCACAGGTATCTTCTTAAAACAGATAGTTATGTACAAAATCTGGAATGTTGGATAAATGCCTATCAATCATCATCATCACACTGTGACGGCTTCCAAAGAAACCTTAGAAATACTAGCTATACATTTAAAACGGGTGCCTCTGCTGTTCAATTTATTGCTGGTTTTACAATCACATATGCCATCATTACCCCTTCTCATACTTTGATTATTTACAAGTTGATTAGTCAGGTCTAAAATCCTTTTGAAATATGCTAAATACATATAAACAAAATGGGCAGTTAGACATAAAGAAACAGTAAAAACTGATTTTATCCCCCTAGATTGTCTAGAATGTCAGACATGTTTTTGTCATGATTATAAAGTGACCAAAACTCCCACAAAAAATTAATCTCCCTAATCTCAAGCAAACAAGAAAAACAAGAAATTTAAAGTAAACAAGTATTTCAGAGTAAAATGAAACATGACAAAAAGAGGAGGAAATGCACAATAAGATGTCTTTCTGACCAATTAACTAATAATTCAGCTTCCTTTGGAAAGCACAAGTTTATTAATATTTTTTAAATTTTCTATTATCTCCACAATGTTTGTGTTTGGTTTGATGTGCCAGGAGAAGAAAGCAACACAATCTACTGCCAACACGGCTGCAGTATAAAACACACAGTTTCAGATTATTCTAGGATTTAAGTGGTCACAAATACACCGCTGGAGTTTCTGGAGTCATGACTTCACATGTAAATTAAATCATTTCCACTTCTTTTGGAAACACGTCCCACTGCCATGACTGGAAAAAAAAACATCAGTTTTACTACAAAATGCCTCTTGAACTGGATTAGTTTTCTGCTCACAGTATAAAATGATTGAACAGCGACAGACTGAATACTCCACATGACGGACAGTAAAACGTCTCAGGCAAAGTGATAAAACTTTTACACAATGCAGAGTACTTTGTTTTTCTTTAACCACATATAGCATACATATTTACTCCTGTGCCGTTTCATTACAAAAAGGATATAAAACCATGTAAAATCGTCAAGAAATACTAAAAGGGTTGTTTAGTTTTTAGAAAGGATGTTTTGTGGATGAAAATAAAGGCTGTAAGTATTGCTTCGAAGCCATTAATGCTGCAGTTGTACCCAGACGGTTGTGAAGATGAGTATTGCTTGGGTTTTGGGGTCCAAACGTCCCCCCTCCAGTTCAAACAGTTCATGGTCTATGGCACTTTTTTGACTATTTGCACCTCCTGCTTTTGTTCTCTGTACAGTGGGGGGGAAAGAAAAGTGAAGAGAGTTGCACCAAAGTGATGAGTGACGAGAATAAAACGCTTCAAAGATACAAAAAGGCAAAGTGTGGTCTTCTTCCATGTTAAAAAAAATAAAACAAAAATGTTAAAACAATTCACTGTATTGATGGCGACCTAAAGGAGAAAAATCACAGCTAAAATAAATCAAATCTCTTAAGTTTCTCCCTGCTTTTACCTTCACTTTAATTTTATGCTCACTTTGGTTGAACAGCATAACCCCCACATCATTTTCCTCTTCAAACATTTCGGGAAAAGTGATTATTAGACTGTTTAATTTAGAGTCAATCCTCAAAAGCTGACTGAATCACAGCGCGACACTTTTTTTCACTGCTCCAAACTGACCCACTTATTCCTCCCATTTATGAATTCCTGCTCGGTTTTCCTGCCTCGTCACATGCGGAGTGCATCTTTTCGTCATCTGAGAAGTTGTGATAAATGAAGCCACTGAGAACTGGTGGATCTTCACAGGCTGATGGAAGAAGGATGTGATGATTTCCTCATTGCAGGAAAAAAAAAAAAACAACTTGACTTGATCTACATTCGTTTCCCCCACGAGAATCACGTAACACAGTCCCTCCACATGAGCTCGCCTGGCTACTGGGAAAACAGTTTGAACGTCTGAAAATGTCCAAAAACTAAAAAAGGCAAAAATGGAGGACAGAAGAGAAGAGAGGGAGCGCTGCCCCCTAGTGGCTGCCTTCACGTCCAACTACAGAAATAAAACTCTTGTTCAGTGGTTACGTTGAAGACTTAAAAAAAAAAGAAAAATCTTTACAGAGACCACAGTTTTCTCATCTCATGTTCATGTTCTTTGTATAAAAATAGATATATACCACAGTGAGGGCCTTTTGAGGACACGCTGCTGTCTCACTAACATAAACGAGGCGACGCAGACCTCTGAGTCCCAGTAGGTGTCAGCAGATCGCGCTCTTCTGTGTATAAAAATATGAGTCAACATACAATTTCTTTGTTCTTCTTTCATGTGCTCACTGACACCTTCTTCACCCCCCCTCCCAAAAATAAAATAAAAAAAAATAAAATAAAAAGCAGAGTCTATGCTTGCACTTCTCGTATGATCGTTAGATCCACAGTGGTTGCAAATGTCTTCAGCAGAGACACGGCGTTCCCGTGATCAATGTTCACAAAGCTGTATCCATTTGCCTGTAGATACAAAAGAAACAGTTGTTGACTCCAGTCAGCAGATCTGTCACCAACCCTGAACACGTGTGTCGGTACCTGGATGATTTTATCTCCGGGCTGGAGGATCTTAGAGGCTGGTCCCTCAGGCTGAACCCTCGTCACAAAAATACCCTGGAATTAAACATGTCATTTATTACATCCAGCAAATGTGCAAATAATCCAACAAAATCTCTTTTTAAAATTACAGAAATTAAAAAAAAAAAAAGGGAACAGAAGTTTGACTCTACATTATCATCGGGACGAAAGGGGTTTCCCCGGCCTCCCACTCCTCCTGATATACTGAAACCCAGTTCTGGGTTCTTCTCCACTTTCACACGGATCTGAAACACACCCACACCAAATATGACACGTTTTGATTATTACGCTGACAGAAAAACAACAATAACAGTTTGAATATTTGATGAATTATTTACTGTAAATGTGAAAGTTACAGAGCAATTATGTTTAATCAACAAGAGACTCTTGAATTGTAAAGTTTCTTTGTTGGGGAGAACAATTAAAGAAAATTATTTGTTGATGTTAAGACCAGGGGTCGGATTTATAAAACTGGCGTACGCACAATTTGAGCCCAGAAACTTGCGTACGCCACTTTTTACGCCAAGGTTATGATTTATAAAATCCAAACTTGATGTGAAAAGTGCCTCACAGCTCTGACCCTCACAGCTCTGACCCTCACAGCTCTGACCCT